ATATATATATATATATATATATATATATATATATATATATATATATATATATATATATATATAGGAACCTCCATGTCATTATCTAGTGATCACATCGATATCGTACTCCAATTGATTAGGTGGAAGGACATGATAAGACCTTTTCGATGGGTCGGATGGTGACTCGACATGACCCAATTTTGTTTATTGAGTACAAATCATATTAATATCGATTCAAGTTATCCTAACGCGACAATCGACACACCACACATAAGCCTTCGTTACATTTACATCCCATGCACGTCTATCGTACTCTTGCTCCTTTTTCTTTTTGTTTTTACATCTTTAAGATTTTATTTCTGATTCTAGATGATGATGATGATGAGAAATTACAACATTAAATAGGTCTCATGCATATTATGGGAATCACGAAATTACTTATCATAAAGAAGAGGAGAAGAATGGATAGACTTCCAAATTAAAAAATATATGAAAAATAATAACTTTAATCTATGAGATCTTAGATCCATAAACTTATTATTTTTTTCTTGATTGCTAAATCATTAGATTATCCCTTTATTTATAAAGGGATAAATCCAACACTTTGACTTTGATTATAATAGGAATTTCTATCTTATCTAAGATTTTAAAACTATGATCCTAAATCCTAAGCTTAATTTAATATTATAGTATTATTTATATACAAGGATGAGTGACAAAGCTTGGAGAATATTTTCTATTCAAAGAAAATATTATTAAGATTGATAAGTATTTTAGAATATCTGAGTCAGTGTCTAATGAGATAAAGAATCATAATATAAGGAGTTCTTGCAAAAAAAAAAAGTGTCTAATGAGATAAAGAATCATAATATAAGGAGTTCTTGCAACAAAAAAAAAAAAAAAACTTGACAATTAAGGTTTGATTATTTTATAAATATCTCAATATCTTTAAGTTTTAGCAAGGGAAAAAATAAAATATGAAAAATACTTTTGGTATATTTGAGTTTCTCTCCAAATGATAATTTTTATTACTCTAAAGAGGATGAGAGAAGATGATGTAAATTCTTCGAAATTTTTGAGAGGGTGTATAAAAAAATTATGCTTGAGTGAGGATAATTCAAGATTTGTAATTAATTCTACATAGTGAATAATTTGATCCTAATCTATGAATATAAGTAAGATTTATTAAATCATATTAAATCTTATGTTAAATTTTTTTTAAAAAAATTATATTAATATTAATATTTTTTAATTTTAAAATTATCCTCTCCCACCTAAACGATAATGCATATGGTTGAAGAGATAACAAAGACATATAATAATACTATATTCAATAATTTGATGCTCATGTGTTCATTTTTAGACGAATCAAAGATGACTTATTTTTTAAAACATATATGTAACACATAATATATTAATTATATCAAAATTAATGATAAAAAAACTTGGTTGGATCTACCAATACAAATGATAGAATCGCCCATTGAAGAACCAATACCTTTAAGAAATTAATAATTAATTTTCCTTTCTATTATTTATTTATTTTTTACTTCTAAAGTATTATATTATTCCTCTCTGTAGCTATACCTAACACTTTGACTTTTTTACTTTAACATTAATTCCTATCTCAAGAAAAAAATTTAAACAACTATCATATCTAATTATAAAATTTAATATAATATTTTTGCTCATATTGGACGCACATTTAACATGCACGTCTATCATTAAAAGCACATATAGGTGAGGCACCGACCGAAGAGGTGATGATCACATCCAATAGGCTCCGATTCAATATTTTGATGTTGGAAAGTTCATCTTATTTGATTTAATTTCTATTCAATGAATCAAATTCCATCGATGATGACTTGTTTTTCTAAACATATATATGACGCAAATTACATTTATTATCTCAAAATTAATAGTAAAAGAAATTAGATTCGACCTACTAATACAAATAATACATTAGTCCATAAGAGGACCTCCAACTTTGAGAAACTTAATTATTGGTCTCTCCTCCTATTATATCTTTTTGTTGTTTCTAAGCCAATCATTTATTGAGGGGTAAATCCAATATTTTGACTTTGACTATTGGAAGGAGTCGTCCATTTTTAAGGGGTAAACCTAATATTTTAATTTTAACTATGATAGGAACTTTTTATCTTTAGTGAGTAAGACTCTTAAATCATAATATAATTTAATATTAAGAAAATCATAATATAATACATAATATATTAAGATAATTAGATTGGGACTACCAATACAAATGATAGATTGGTCCATAAGAGGATCAGCAACTTCAAGAAATCAAAGTAACAAATGTTCCCTCCTCGACTCCAATTAGTTCGAATCTTAGAGATAACAAGAAATCATTGTACAGTCAGAAAAAGGAAGAACACTTTTCTCCCTCACTCTCTGATTGAAAGAAGGTGAGATTTGACTTCTCTTTATTTAAAAGAAGTTATTGTCTTGTAGAAATCCAAAAAATAGTTGAAACAATAAGACTTTCTTGTTGTTGTTTTAAGACACTTTGCAAATTATGAAAAGCTAAGCTAATAATTCATTGTGTTTGTTTCTTGATGGATTTTTCTTTTCATTCTTCTCATCACTGTCCTCAATTTGTCCTCACTCAAAGTCCCATTTTCTTTTCTCTGCACACTCTTTATCTTCTGTCCCACATTGCATTGCACATGGAAACAATGACATATAGCATAAAACAAAAAACATGTGCAAAGTGGATTTTAATTGGACAAATAAAATAAAGTTTTTGAGGATAATTCCTCGCTAAAAATACTAAATTGACAATGATGATGATTATAGCAATGGCTATGAGAACATTAATCTCAGGAATTATGGATTTAATTGTTCTTGGCTACTTTAATTTCTATAATCTATTATGCATAAGCCTCTGAACACATGAACTTTTCCTTTTATAAGGTTTGCTGATTGCTCATCTTCATTTCTAAAAGGTATAAATCATAATATACATCGAGGCATAAGTGGATTGCATCTTCAATAGGAAGCAAAAGCTAACAAAAATATGGCACAATCCAAGTCAATAATTTGAGGGACCGATCAACAGTTGATCTCTATATGTTTGGTTAAGAATTGAAGATATGATCGAAGGCCTAATTTGTGTGACCATATAAGTCCAAGAAAAATGACCACTTTCAGTACAGAATTAATATGATTAAAATTATTCTCTTCCTTTAAAGTTTGTGGTACAAAATAATTTGGGGGAAGACTTTTGCTGAATATTAGAGCATGGCCTTTTCAAATATGAAAAGAAATTAAAAATATTATTAGAAAAATTATTTTTAGAGATATTTCATAATTTTATTTTATATAATTTATTTATTAATATATGAAAACTTTGCTATTTATTTCATATCTTAATCAATCTTAATTAACCTTTTTTGGATTGTATTATGTGGTTTTATATTAGAACTTCTACTCTATAGTTTTCTGACATTATCGTTTTTGGAAGACAGCAATATTTTACTCTTATTTTTTATTTTCGTAAAGAGGGGGGTATTATTGTCTTCCTCAGAGTCGATGAACGATTTGCGGGTCAATGGGACTCCACGTTTATCTCGCGGCTCGGCATCACATGGACTGGAAGATATACGGACACTCTTAACGAGGACTATCATGACAGCGCACGTCGAGCATGTACCAGCAAAAATGATTCGTCGTCGGCTTAGACGGATACGTGTCACGGTATGGTTGGTGATGTTTAAATATTCGTGTGTGGGCATGATGTGCCGATTGGAACAGCCATGGTGGTCCTTTCGTTGTAAAGGCTACTCAACAACGGGGGTTAAACGAGGAAGTGCGCTCTGCATGATGCTTATCCAGACGCCCTCTGTCTGAGCTCAGTGTTCTATTTAAGGAGTATCAGTGAAGAGTTGCTCAACACCGGCCAGTGGTCAGTGCTCGCTCCATTTGCTGGCCCCTCCTTTCCCTGTAGACTCCCACGCCACCCCTCTCTCTCTCTCTCTCTCTGGTCTACTGAACAGTAGTAGACATGTCCCTGCTGTTGAACTCTAGCTTCACCGGTGCTTCCTCTGCATGCCTCCTCCAACGGGAAAGGTCCCGCCGCCGCCGCCTCCACGTCCCTGGCGTGACATGCCGCCAGGGCAGTAATGGTGACCGCAGCGATGCCGCCCGCCAGCAGCAGTCGCCGCTGCTGCTGGATCGGCGCGACATGCTGTTGGGTTTAGGAGGGCTTTACGGCGTGACCGCAGGACCCAAGGTTCTGGCGGCGCCGATAATGCCGCCGGATCTGTCCAAGTGCTACCCTGCCACCGCACCTGCCCTCGACAACAAATGCTGCCCGCCTTACGTCCCCGGCGAGACGATCTCGGAGTACAGCTTCCCTGCTACGCCCCTCCGGGTGCGGCGGCCGGCCCATATCGTGAAGGACGATCAGGAGTATATGGACAAGTACAAGGAGGCAGTGAGGAGGATGAAGAATCTGCCGGCAGACCACCCTTGGAACTACTACCAGCAGGCGAACATCCACTGCCAGTATTGCAACTACGCCTACCACCAGCAAAATGCCGACGACGTGCCCATCCAGGTCCACTTCAGCTGGATCTTCCTCCCATGGCACCGCTACTACCTCCACTTCTACGAAAGGATCCTCGGCAAGCTCATCGACGACGACACCTTCACCATCCCCTTCTGGAACTGGGACACCAAGGACGGCATGACGTTCCCCGCCATCTTCCAGGATGCGGCATCCCCGCTGTACGACCCGAAACGCGACCAACGCCACGTCAAGGACGGCAAGATCCTCGACCTCAAGTACGCCATCACCGAAAATGAAAGCACTGCATCCGACAGCGAGATCATACGGGAGAACCTCTGCTTCATACAGAAGACGTTCAAGCACAGCCTGTCGCTGGCGGAGCTGTTCATGGGGGATCCCGTGCGCGCGGGGGAGAAGGAGATCCAGGAGGCTAACGGGCAGCTGGAAGTCATCCACAATGCGGTGCACAGTTGGGTCGGAGAGCCGAGCGGAAACTATGAAGACATGGGCGACTTCTCCACCGCCGCCCGCGATTCTGTTTTCTTCTGCCACCATTGCAATGTCGACCGCATGTGGGACATCTACCGCAACCTCCGCGGCAACCGCGTCGAGTTCGAAGACAACGACTGGTTGGACAGCACCTTCCTCTTCCACGACGAGAACGAGCAGCTCGTCAAAGTCAAGGCAAGTCAGATGCTGTCTCCAATTTATACCCATCCCTGCAAATGCAATAGAAACGTTGTATACATAACTGTCGTATACCGTGCAGATGAGGGACTGCCTCAACCCGACCAAGCTTCGGTACACGTTCGAGCAAGTTCCCCTCCCATGGCTGGGCAAAATCAATTGCCAGAAGACGGCAGAGACGAAGTCCAAGGCCACGACGGAGCTGTCGCTGAATCGCGTGAACGAATTCGGAACGACGGCCCAGGCACTCGACGCGAGCAACCCGCTGCGGGTGATCGTGGCAAGGCCGAAGAAGAACCGCAAGAAGAAGGAGAAGCAAGAGAAGGTGGAGGTGATTCAGATCAAGGATATTAAGGTGACCACCAACGAGACAGCTCGCTTCGACGTCTACGTCGCGGTCCCTTACGGTGACCTCGCCGGA